CTCTCTCTCTCTCTCTCTCTCCCTCTCTCTCTCTCTCTCTCTCTCTCTCTCTCTCTCTCTCTCTCTCTCTCTCTCTTTCTCTCTCTTCCCCCCCCTCTCTCTCTCGCTCTCTATCTGTTTTTCTTCTCATTTGTTCTTCTCTCCTTCCCTTCCCTACCTTCCATGCTCCCTTTCTCCCTCATTTCTCTTGTCCTTTCTCCCACCCTTTCCTCCATTTTTCCTCCTTGTTGTTCCATCCCTCTCACCCTCCCCTTCCACTCTTTCCCCTCCTCCTTTCCCCCCTCCCCCTCTTTCCCCTCCTCCTTTCCCCCCTCCCCCTCTTTCCCCTCCTCCTTTCCCCCCCTCCCCCTCTTTCCCCTCCCCCCTCTCCCCCTCTTTCCCCTCTCCTCCCCCCCCCCTTTCCCCCTCCCCAACCACGAAGGAACGTAGACTGTATTTTCTTCTGCGAATCCGAAGGCCTCCGGCAGTATCTCGCAAGCCGTCGTTAGCGGTGGGTCGGCGTAGCTTCCTCTGTAAATGCTTGTTTGCGTGTGGCTTCGTGTGTGTTTGTGTGTGTGTGTGTGTGTAGCTTGGTGTGTGTGTGTGTGTGTGTGTGTGTGTGTGTGTGTGTGTGTGTGTGTGTGTGTGGCTTCGTGTGTGTATGTGTGTGTGTGGCTTCGTGTGTGTGTGTGTGTGTGTGTGTGTGTGTTTATGTGTGTGTGTGTGTGTGACTTTTGAGTATAAGTGGAGCCGTGACTACATGTGAGTGGCTTTGCGTGTGAGTGATTGCGTGTATGGGTGTGGGGTTAGTTTGTGCGTAAGGGACATTGTGTGTGGATGGTTGTGTGCCTGTGCGTGGCTTTGCGCGTAAATAATTTATGAGTGGCTTTGCGTGTATGTGGCTTTGTGTGTATGTGGCTTTGTGTGTATGTCGCTTTGCGTGTGAGTGGTTGAGCGTATGTGCGTAAATTTGTGTTTCAGTAGGATTTGCGTGTGCGTGGTTGTGTATACGAGTGGTTTTACACGTGTGTAAGTGGCTTTGTGTTTAAGTGATTTCATGCGTGTATGTGAGTAGATTTTCGTAAGTCATTCGTGTGTATATGTGAGTGGTTTTGTGTAGGTATGTGATAATAATAAAGGTGATAGGGATAATGATGATAATAACGATAATGATGATGATAATAGTAGTGATGACAGCAATAATGATATGTATTCCAATCTTATTAGTTATTATTGTTATTATTATTATTATTGTTGTTATCATAATCGTCTTCCTCAGATTTGCTTGTCATTACTACTATCATCAGTATCATCACTATTTTTATCATTATCATTATCATATTATTATTATTATCATTATCATTATCATTATTATTATTACCTCCGCCAAGGAGGTTCTGTTTTTGACGGCGTTGGTTTGTTTGTTAGCAGCCTAGCTCAAAAAGTGCTGGCCGGATTTCATCGAATTTTTGGGGACAAGTCAGAAAGGGGACTAACTTAGAACTGATTAAATTTTGGTGACATTCTGAATTACCGTCTGGTTATTATTATTATTATCATTATTTAATCAATAAACAAGTTCGGTATACAAATCTACGGTAAACGTGTGCCACATTTCACTGACATTCCGAATTACCGTCTGGACGCAGCAGCGGTGTAAGTACATTATATACGCACCTTGGCGGAGGTCTGCACTCTCTGAGTGCTTTTCTAATTATTATTATTATTATTTTTATTATTATTATTGTTATTAATATTATTATTATTATTATTATAATCATGATCATTATTATTATTATTATTATTATCCTTATTATTATTATTATTATCATTATTAATATTATTGTAATTATTATTATCATTATTATAATCATTATCATTATAATTATTATAATTATTATTATCATTATTATCATTATTATTATTATTATTATTATTATTATCATTATTATTATTATTGTTATTATTATTATCATTATTATCATCATCATAATTATTATTATCACTATTGCTATCATCATCATTATCATCATCATCGTAATTATAGTCATTATCATAATCATGATCATCACCTTCATCATCATTATAATTATTGTTATTTCTATCATTAGTGATATCAATACCATTATGATTGTCATTATTTCTATTATTATTGATATCATTATTGTTATTATTATTATTATTATTATTATTTTTGTTATTATTTTATCATAACTATGATTATTTCTATTAGTATCATAACCATTGTTATTATTCTTAATATCATCATTATCATTATTGTTTTTCTTCTACTTCTTCTTCTTATTATTATTATCATTATTGTTGTTACTATTATTATTATCATTATCATCATTATTATCATCATCATTATTATTATTATTATTATTATTATTATTATTATCATTATTGTCATGATTATTGTTATTATTATTATTATTATTATTATTATTATTATTATTATTATCATTATTATTATTATTGTTATTATCATCATTATTATTAGTATGCTAATGATAATATTATTTATAGTAATAATAAGAAAAATATCAACAATCGTATTAAAGAAAATGTAGTAATGATAATGATAGCTATTGACTATTAATGATAGTGATAATAATAAAGATAATAATGGTAAAGGTGGTAGTAATATTCACAGTAATAGTAAAGTAGTAGTAGTAATGGTAATAATAACAATAAAGGAGAGTTGGTAGTGATAATAACGATAATAGTACTAATAACGTTAATAACAGTGATAATGATAATAATAACTGCAATAGAAATAATGGTGAAAATAATATAGATGATAATAATAATAAAAGTAATGATATTAGCGAAGATTATATTGATAATGCCAATGCCAATGACAACAAAATGACAGTAACTTTGGTGAGAAGAACAAGAATTTTCATAGTAATTATGAAAATAATTATGGTTATTATGCTCACTTCATAACAAGAATGATGATGATAGTGATAACCAGATTTCGGAAGTAAAAAAAAAAAAAATCGTTGATTCTGTAATCCAGTTTTTATTCAATGTAATTATTGATCAGTATATTATCTTACCGTCCCTGTTTATTTTTCCTTTGGATCAGCGAACAGAATGGCGGCGCTTATAACCTTCTTGCTCGTGATCCTTTCTACCTCCGCCCTGGGCCAAGTACCTGGTGAGATTCTCGTGATGATTCACTTTGATTAATTGCTGTAATGAGAGAGAGAGAGAGAGAGAGAGAGAGAGAGAGAGAGAGAGAGAGAGAGAGGGGGGGGGGGGGGGAAGAGAGAGAGAGAGAGAGACAGACAGACAGACAGACAGAGACAGAGTGAGAGAGACAGAGACAGATAGAGATAGAGATAGAGAGACAGAGACAGAGAGAGAGAGAGAGAGAGAGAGAGAGAGAGAGAGAGAGAGAGAGAGAGAGAGAGAAAGAGATAGAGAGACAGAGAGAGAGAAAGAGAAAAAAACAGACAGACAGACATAGACAGAGAGAGATAGAGAGAGAGAGAGAGAGAGAGAGAGAGAGAGAGAGAGAGAGAGAGAGAGAGAGAGAGAGAAAGACAGAGAAGGAGACAGAGAGATAGAGATAGAGATAGAGAGACAGAGAGAGAGAGAGAGAGAGAGAGAGAGAGAGAGAGAGAGAGAGAGAGAGAGAGAGAGAGAGAGAGAGAGAGAGAGAGAGAGAGAAAGAGATAGAGAGACAGAGACAGAGACAGAGAGAGAGAGAGAGAGAGAGAGAGAGAGAGAGAGAGAGAGACAGACAGACAGACAGACAGACAGAGACAGAGAGAGAGAGACAGAGAGAGCCAGAGAGATAGAGAGACAGAGAGAGAGAGAAAGAGAAAGAGACAGACAGACATAGACAGAGAGAGAGAGAGAGAGAGAGAGAGAGAGAGAGAGAGAGAGACAGACAGACAGACAGACAGACAGACAGACAGACAGACAGACAGAGAGGCAGAGAGAGAGAGAGAGAGAGAGAGAGAGAGAGAGAGAGAGAGAGACAGACAGACAGACAGACAGACAGACAGAGAGGCAGAGAGAGAGAGAGAGAGAGAGGCAGACAGACAGACAGAGAGAGAGGGAGACAAAGAGAGAGAGAGAGTTCTATATGCGATAAAACTAGAATTGACGGTGATGATAATCATACTAATACAAACTCCAAGAGTAATACCAGTGGTAATGGAAATAGAATTTAAAGACTTGAATCATATGCCCGGCAGAGGGATGCATCGACCCTCCCGGCAACAATGGTGTGGCGGATATTATCGTACAGGCCCTGGAGGCTGCCCGCTCCCTCCTCGAGTCCGGGATCCCTGAGTTGGGCATCCCCCCCCTGGACCCCTTCGGCCCCCTGCCCAAGATACCCTTCAGCGTGGACACCAGTGGACTCTGGTAGGCCCTCCCCCCCGCCTGCGCCCGCGGCCTTTCTTTTGCTGTTATGCTGGATATTATATTGTATATATACAGTATGTATGTATTTATGTATATACATATATCTATCTATCTATCTATCTATCTATCTATCTATCTGTGTGTGTATATATATATATATATATATATATATATATATATATATATATATATATACATATATATTTCTTATTCCTTATTTCTTTCTTTCTTATTTTCTTTTCTTGTCTACTTTTGTCTATTCTCCTCATTATGACGATAATCTGATTACTGTGACTCCTAGCAACCGTAGAGTAGGGAAAACGCAATTCTTTGTGTGGAATGAAATCGAAATATAATGAAATACTTTACTCTCTTTATTATTCCTTTCTGTCTCGCATCTCCATCTTTTCTATTTCCAATTTATCATCCTATCGCCGTCACCCTAAAAATCATTGTTATTTGTCTCCTTAAGCTGTCTTATTTTTTCTCTCTCTTCCTCAAATAAAAACACTGACGTTGCTGACGACCATCGCACTATGGTGTCATACGATGCTATGGTGTCACGCGATGCTACGGTGTCACGCGATGCTATGGTGTCACACGATGCAATGGTGTCACACGATGCAATGGTGTCACACGATGCAATGGTGTCACACGATGCAATGGTGTCACACGATATGGTGCCACTCGTGACCCTCCAACCGCCACCCATCACGCCCTCGCACACACTATGGCACCCTGCGATATGGTGATTCAGGCTCGAAGGTATAGTGAACGACACGTACGTCCGTAACTTGGCCCAGTTCGTGACGTGCTCGGTCAACCTGACGTTCGGCCTCGCGCAGAAATTCGACATCGAGTTCCGTCTGCAGAATTTCCACATGGATGGCTACTACGACGTCGACGGCCTCGCTCTCTCGCTCTTCCCTATCTTTGGCAATGGAGGCTTCAGGTAAGGAGGGAGGGAGGGAGGGAGGGAGGGAGGGAGGGAGGGAGGGAGGGAGGGAGGGAGGGAGGGAGGGAGGGAGGGAGGGAGGGAGGGAGGGAGGTAGGCAGGCAGGTAGGTAGGGAGGGAGGGAGGGAGGAAGGGAAGGAGATAAAGAAGAAGGGAGGAAAGGGAGGAAAGAGGGGGAGAAGAAGGGAAGAAGGAAGAGAGGAAGGTAAGGGAGGAAGGAGGGAGGGTTCAGGTAAGGAGGGAGGGAGGGAGGGAGGGAGGAAAGGAGGGAGGGAGGGAAAAGCGGGAGGGGGGAGGGAAGATGTTTGGGAGTGGGGGAGGGCAGGAAGAAGGGAAGGAAGGAGAGAAGAAGGGAGGGAAGGAAGGAAAGAGGGGGAGAGGAAGGGAAGAAGGAAGAGAGGAAGGTAAGGGAGGAAGGAGGGAGGGTTTAGGTAAGGAGGGAAGGAAAGAGAGAGGAAGGAAATGAGGGAGGATAGGGGGAAGAGAGGGATGAGGATAACGTGAAGGAAAGAAAACAAATAAAAGGGGAAATAAAAGATGATGTAGGATGAAAGAAGAAAGATGTAATGAGAAAAGGAGAAAGGACTGAAAAGAAGGAGGTAAAATAGAAGAGAAAGAGATGAAGGGAGAGAGAAGGAGAAAGAGGAGAAGGACTGAGGGAGGAAGGATGAAAGAAAGGAGGGAGAGAGATGAGGGATGAAGGGAAGGGGTATAAATGTAGCCTGGCAGATCAATAGATAAATAGACAGACGGACAGGCAGATTGATAGATGGATAGATAGATAGATAGATAGACAGACAGATAAATAGGCAGGCAGACAGACAGATAGGAAGATATATAGAGAGATAGAGAGATAGAGAGATAGATAGTCAGATAAATAGACAGATATACAGACAGATGGATAGATAGATAGGTAGATAGATAGATAGATAGATAGATAGGGAGAGAGAGAGAGAGAGAGAGAGAGAGAGAGAGAGAGAGAGAGAGAGAGAGAGAGAGAGAGAGAGAGAGAGAGAGAAAGAGAGAGAGAAATTCAACAAGGACAGATCAATCAATCAATGAATCACACACACAAACGCATGCAACCCCTACTCCCTCCCCCCTCCCTCTCTGCCCCTTACCCCTTACCCCTTACCCCCTACCCCCAAGCCCACTCATTACCCCGCCCAACCCCCTCACACTTTTATACAACCCCTCCCCCCCTAAACCTACCCAACCCTTTCCATATACGTTTCTCCTCGCATTCCAACCATCAACCACACTCACCACCCACCACACTCACCACCCACCACACTCACCACCAACCACACTACCCACCAACCACACTCCCCACCCACCACACTCCCCACCAACCACACTCCCCACCCACCACACCCACTCCCCACCCACTCCCCACCCACCACACCCCACTCCCCACCCACCACACCCACTCCCCACCCACCACACCCACTCCCCACCCCACCACACCCACTCCCCACCCACCACACCCACTCCCCACCCACCACACCCACTCCCCACCCACCACACCCACTCCCCACCCACCACACCCACTCCCCACCACCACACCCACTCCCCACCCACCACACCACTCCCCACCCACCACACCCACTCCCCCTCCCCCAGAATCGACACCTACGAGTCGGGCTTCACCGGAGGAGCCAAGATCAGCTACAACCCGATTTCCGACCACGCCTCCCTCAAGGACCTCAGCCTGGACATTTTCTTTTCCACGATGGAGGTAAGAGGGGAGGGAGGGGGGAGGGGAAGGGAGGGTGAGGGAAAGAGGGTGAGGGGAGGAGGGGGGAGGGAGGGGGAGGGAAGGGGAGGGAAAGGGGAGGGGAGGGGGTGATAGATTTGCTGAGGAGTAGGTATGCATTGAAAGAGATGAGTGAAAGGGGGGAGGGGGAGGATTGATTGAAAGAGGGGGAGGGAAGGAAGGAGGGATGGAGGGGGAGGAGGGAGAGAGGGAGAGAGAGAGAGAGAGAGAGAGAGAGGAGAGAGAGGAAAGAGAGGAAGAGAGAAGAGGAGAAGAGAGAGAGAGAGAGAGAGAGAGAGGAGAGAGAGAGAGAGAGAGAGAGAGGAGAGAGAAGAGAGAAAGAGAGAAGATGAGAGAGAGAGAGAGAAGAGAGAAAGAGAGAAGAGAGAGGAGAGAGAGAGAGAAGAGAGAAGAGAGAGAGAGA